TATATATAAATATATATATGTATGTTTTACAGTTTTTGAAGTCAGAAGATACTCTACGTTCAGCCTGGGCTAAAAAATATAATCTCTTGGATGAAAAAAAAAAAAAGAAAGAAGACAAACCACAGGATTTGCTATGTCAGTATGACACATTTGTTCATGGTGTTTTTTATTGCACACCCCTAACATGGATTTCAGAAAGCAGCAGGGCATGGAAGCAGATGCTTTTAAGGAGGAAGACCATATGTCACAGCAGACTGCCAGTGATCTGGCAAGCATGGTACCATCTTCCAATATAATAAATGAGAAGGTCATGCCTTCTTTATTCCCAGGTCGGGTTGACAATATGAGTGATTCCTCCAGCAAGCAGTGTCCACTTTTATGCAGTTCAGAAGCCGGCTGTATGATGGGCAACAGTAATGTCTCAACAGATAACTTGAGCCACAACCAAGCTTTTCAGCATGCAAGGCAATTATATTATTTGGCCAACTCTGATTTTTTCCATCAAAAGTTGGCTTCCAGTGTAAACCAGGCTGGAATTCATGATGCAAGTGACACCTTGGAAATGTTCACTCCTCCTCTGCTCCCTGCCTCAGAGCCTGGGATGAACCATTGTGCTCCCACCTACAAAAACATCGAACAGGTTAGTTTGCTTTAAATAATCACTGAATTTATAACTGCATATTGTATATTTCTGATAGTTGCACAGCCTCTTCAGGAAGAAAGGGATGGTAACTTTTGTGTCTCTCTATAGATAGGAAGCTTTACTAGCAAGCACTGGGAAGTGCATCATTGGGAAGTACATCATAACCCTGTGTCTGATGCGGTTCCTCTAATGCATCCATGCAATAAAATGCTTTTCCCAAGAGACAATTAATCAATTTTTCTCTTGTTCCTCATGTTCGATAGCTATTGCTATCTCCCTCCCTCTGGTGAAAAAGATTGCATGTTCTGGCTCCACATTACACACATGGCAACCATGTGTGCAATGGTTGTGGAGCATGTTCATGTTCTTATTTCCATACGTCTTTCTATCAGTCCTCTTATGCCTCATCTCCTTTTTTATCTTTTTTCCATTTCTGACTTTTTCCTCTTCTTCTCAGTTTTGACAAAGTGATGGACAGGAGTAACTCCACAGTTATCTCTTCCACTGAGTGCTCTACGTGCTTCTCATAAGATAGTAAATGATACAGTGCCTGAGTTGCATATTTTAAAGAAACTCATGTTTTTCCAATACAGTTGAATTTATTATTTAGGATGTGTCTGTGCTGGCAGTTCTCAACACTTTCTCCACTGGAAGTCTGTCATAATAATTTTAACATTTTTTGATGACGTCAAAATCAGAAGTACCTGTGCTAACGTGGGTGCATTGGCTGCCTTTTGCCCTGAGCCCACCTCACCTCAGGGCTTCTTTTCTTGACACTGTTGATACCACCTCTGCACAACAGACAAGAGCTGGGAAAAACTGTTGTTCTTCGGTTGTACGTCAGGAGATTTGCAGCTGGGCTGTGCCAGTGCAGTGGCTTCTTGGCCACCTAAATTTCCTGTGGCTGAGGACTGCTGAGTGGGGTGCTGAGGCTGTCCTGAGATCCAGTTCCCCACTGTGCTTCTCAAGGGGATACTTAAGACCCAGTCTGGAGTCATCACCACCCTCAGCTCTCAGTGTTATGAAGATTTTAGTACTTTACATATAGAGACAGGAAACTTCTTATTCCTTGGTTGTTGGGAAGTATTAATGTAGGTAAGGCTGCAGCTGAAGATAACTTCTTGTGAGTCCCAGGAGTCTGCTACTTCTTTTCTTGGATGACATAAACCAGATCATTAAGTTTAATGACCAGAATGTATCCTGTGATATCCTAAATGGTCAACAGCTGGTCATAAAATCTGATACTGGCTCTTGGGCATTCTTTGTTCTTTGGTGGCTTCTGGCATTTGACTATGTGAATTACTTGAAATGTTCTCAAAGATTCTGGGAGAAAAAGTGAACTTGGAGTTTGCTTTGTTACATGGTGCTTCTGGAATGATACCAGACAGAGGGGCATTAGAGTGAAAATGATGCTTCCGGGCAGACTGCTGGGAAGCTCCAGGCACAGCAACAGCATGAGGGTGTCTTTATGCTGTAAGTTTTAGTTCTGGTACTTCACAATAAATTAAAAAAAAAAAAAAAAAAAAAAAAAAAGAGAAAAAAAAAGACCTGTCTCTTGCACTACTGATCTCTGTTAGTTCTTTCCAGTGGACAGGACAGAAGAAACGAATGAGTGGGAGAAGGAGTCAAATAATGATAAACTGGGAAACTCAGAAGGCCAAGGCAAGTTGGATAGTTGTATACCTGCAGAGAGGCAAGGGGGACTGTCTGACCTGCAGAAGGACTGAGGAACTAATGGCAGCAATTTAATCAGAGACAGAGTCAGTCCTTTCTCTGTGTTAGTGAAGATTTCTGTGGAGGCAAAGACTGGACTTATTCTTCTATCCTTTCATCCCTAATTTCAGACCGTGCTCATATATCCTCCTAATTGCATCTGTGCTCTGTGAATATTGACTTTTGAAAGCTGCTTTTCATCGACGATACTGGTAATTTGCATTTATCAGATAATTCAACAAACAATGAAAAGTTGGACCCTAGCACATTTTGAAGTTTTACAGTGAAGCCTGACCTGAGGGTGTCATTTGCTCTGATGCTGTTCTAACACGTTCTTGGTGTGAAACACGGATGGATGCTTCTCTCCCTTTTGTGCCTCAGCTTTTGTGGGAAGGAAATCCCAGCACACAGACCAGAAGAACATGCTGGCTGATGTGAGGCTGAGCAGCAAAACCTGGTAAGGCACATACTGCCTGCCCAGTGTCAATGTAGCCTTTGAGTTTTAAAATGGCAAAAGATTTTTAAATACAAATGTTAACATTCTTTATTAAAAGTAATACACACTTTGAGAAATACCTACTCCTGAAGTCCAGATATGGTGATTCTTTCTGATTAAAAACGGTCCACAAATGTAATTTGATACTACATCTTCACAATATTTTCAGACTCCAGGGCAGCAGGACCAGGTGATGAAGCAGCAGATGGAGCAGCTGCAAAGGCTGGTGGCTGAACAGCAGAAAATCATCGCACTTTATAACCCAGGTACTTGGGGAATCCCTCCTGATGCTGCGGCACCCTCACCGGCTGATGCTCGCGCTCCAGCAGTGAAATGCAGCAGTTCCTTAAAGGAAGAGAAGGTTTGATATTTGTTGTCAGTGGCTGGGGGCTCTTCCTCTGGCAGTTGGGCTAAAACATTCATTTCTTTACACACATTACAAACAACCTGTAAGCCCCAGAAAACACTTCATTCCACTTTTGTATATTAAAATTCCAGGAGAACCATGAGGAGGAGTCCTTTATGTTTAATAACAGACCTCCTGCACAGACTTCTATTGAAGTATAGATATGAATGGTACTGCAGAAAATTATAGTATAGTGGTGAGCATTACAGAAAAGCTGAAATATCCTTTTTTTCTGTACCTATATATGAATGTTACAGTTTTTATGTAGGAAAAAGAAGAGGAAGAAAGTCAACACACCAGGCTTCTGTTAATAGACTCTTACCTTTAATAGTACAGCCTGTTCCTCACAGCATGATACAACTCCTTGAACAGCTTCATTTTACCAGTGGCATTGCCAGAAAACACCATCTGCTCAGCAAGTAGAAAAAGAGGAGCCCCCCCATGGTGAAAGAAGAATTTAGGGAAATCATGTAGACTTGTGACAGCATTGGCCTGGCTTTAGCAGGGCTACTTGTGCATAACATCAGGCAGGGAGCATCTATAAGGGCATAGGAAGGCCAGGTGATCCTTGGGTCTGCTGTGGCTCTGCAGACAACCTGCTGGGGAGGCATCTTCACCTAACCCATGTGGTAGGAGCATAAGCAGCCTAAGGCATCCCCTGCCTGCACCTGTGCATTGATCTGGCATCAGTTTTCTCAGTCTAATTTCAAGCTGCTTTGCTGAGTTGAGGAGCCGCAAGGGTCTCATTCTGCTAAGATCTCAGAGGATAGTTAGGAGAACTAGGTCATGGCAACTTGCATGCTAGAGTTCAGTGATAGCCTAATGGGGTCTTACAAATAGCTTTTTAGACCTGCAAAGATAAATTTTTTACAAAACTTTCTTCCCATGTTCTAACCATACATAGTGTAGGAAAGTCCTCCCAGTTAAAGACAGCCATGTTTTTTGCTGTCCTTCCATGCATGTATAAAAATACTTCATGGCACACCTAGTTTGACCAGTTTGGACAGACTCATTTATAATAAAAAGTTCTTTTTCAGTTGCCGTATGAGGAACATTTGCTTGCAAATGTCCACACAAAACAATAGTCATTACTTTAGGCAAAGTTAATGATAATAATAAAACCACCAAGAATTGATGGTCTCTTGCCTTCCCCTCACCCCCGGCCCCAGAAACTCTGGGAGTTGGCACTTGCTAGTTGGCTTTAGGGTAATATAACCTTACATTATTGTTGTCATAAAAGAAATGGAAATTTTAGCAAGTTTCATCTACCTTGCTAATGTATATAATAGCAGTTATTACCCAAGAAAATAAAAGGGTTTAGAAAAGTGGAAAAAAAAGTAGAAAAAGGAATTAAACAACATTGGCCAGGAAAATGCTTGCAGGCTTTTAACTTCCCTCTACTCCCAGTGTAACAAAAATGGAAGAAAATAAGAAAACCCCAGTCTTTTAAACCTGTGTATATGCATATGCATAATTAGATCTGTATAAATATACCAAATGGTCTCTGCTGGCTTCAAGTGTCAGTGTCTTAAGAATATCTGAGCTCTGGGGCTTTGCTTCATTCCCTCTCAGACACATGGGGTCAGAGAACCTTCTGTAGGAATGAAAAAAATTTGGGCTGGACACACAACAGACAGCCGGCTCCATTGCACTGTTGGGGCGCAGCAGATGCTGACATAGAACATGTTAACAGCAACCTGAAAAGCTGTACGGCTGCTAGAGCTGCGGAGCATGTATGCAAGCAATAGGAGTATACTGGGATATAGGAACCAGGCAGGAAGCAAGGGCCAAACACCACTGCCTCAGTGACCATGAGAAGCCTAGCTTTCTGCAGCTTAGGTTGTCTGCTTGTGTTGTGGGGACCTTTCTGAGCTTCCTAACGTGCTAGCAGCGCCAAGCAACGTGATACTGAAGGGAACAAGAAACTTGAGAAAGAACACAGTGTCACATCTGTTTGAAGTTGATGCTGTGTGACAATCAGGTTTTTTTTGGTTGGGGGGTAAGCAGGATCTCAACTATTGACCCCGCAGCCAGAAGCCAAGCCACACCAGCAGTGATACCAGCAGGCCTGGCTGTCATTGTACCCATTTTCCTGATGGAGCTATACCACTGTAAAATAGCTGTCAAAAGCCACTGCTGTACATGAGGGAGACAGCTTGAGAAAGAGACAGAATGAAGACTATGGCTGAGTAAATGAAATCTTCATGATCCTGTGCTTTTTGCTTCAGAGAAAAGTCTGATTGAAATGGCAGGCAAACGCTCAGCAAGCTGTCTGCGATGACCAGGTTGAACTAGTCCACAGTCTGCAGCTTCCAAGTTTTCTAATCAAAGCAGAACATCCACAGAGCAATTATGTTGCTCATTAATCTCTGCCCAAATGCCGCAGTTAGCAAGATGCTTGTTGTTACTTCCACCAGTTCACTCTGAGCAGAACAGTTAGGCTGCACCACTTTCTTCAGGTTCTCAGGAAGGACTGAACAACATGAGAAGGAAAGTGCCTTGGGTCCTGCTACACTTCGTCATGCAAACTTCTCTTCCCCCTGCCCCAGTGCTGTACATCACTTGACACATTTCTGAAAAAGCAAGTACAGTTAGTATCATGAACTCAAGACTAAGCTCATACTGTAAGAAATATATTTATAGGATGTTGTTTGGGTGTATTTACATATCCAGATACATTTAGCTAACACGTAAAGCCACAGAAAAAATGGTTACTTGACTGAAAAACTGCCCCAAATCTGCACCGAAGTTCTCATTTGTTAGTGGAGGCAGTGTAGGTTGAGGGTAGCAAAAGACATTGCATGATCTGGTCCCATTAAGCTTTAAAGAGGTAAAATATGAAGAACTACTAGGGCTATGATTTATCTTATTATGATAAAGATAGTTGCTTTAATATTGCCATGCATTTAAAGAAATAATACAGTGACCAACAGTAAAATCAAAACCTCGTTGAATTACAGGTTGTTATTTTAATGTCTCATGGTAACACAAATGGAAGTGGCTTTGCCCACCTGCTAGCTGCATGGTTAAAGCATCTGTCCAGAAGTAGTGAGTTGGGCTTTTTTGTGAGTCTGTGCCAGACAGGATTTGAAACCACAGATCAGCCTTTTTCCAAAAAATGCCTTAACTGGGGGATGAGGCAATTTCAGTCGCAGGCACTCTCTATTCTTGTTGAAGTCAGGTCACAGGACAGCAAGGAATCATGGTGTGGAGAAAGAAAATAAGAAGCAAGCCTAATTTGGTAACTTTATAAAGGGGTTTCTTTCCTGGAAGTAGTGAGTCTGGCCTCTGGTCCCTATGCAGAACTGCTTACATCTTTTCCACTTGGGAGTTTTCTAATAAAATGTGTAACCAGCCATCCACAGCTAAAAGGAAAACCTTCCCCTCTTTTGCATTGAGGAGTGCCTCAGAGATACTTTGCAATACTTAACTTTTACATGCTAAGGAACGCAAGGAGTCCTAGGGGAAATGTGTGTTTTATATGCTCAAGAGTACTTTGTCAATTTTCTTTAATTCAGCATCCCTGTAGCATATGATAATTTTGGTTATGACTGATGGTTGCAGCAAGCACATTTCACAATTTAAATAAAATAACAAAAGCAGAATTTGCTAATTTCACTCTGAACATGAAAACCACCAGGGAACATGAAAGCAACATTGGTTTTGTGCAATACCAGTTTAACAAGAGTTTTCTAGTTCGGTGCAAAATATTTGTCTTAAGCTTCTCTAATTTTTCTTATCCTTTAATTATTGTTAGGTTTTTCTGTTTCTCCTGGGACACCTGCCCACCTAGTAGCCACGATGACACCCCTTCCATGCTTTCCGGCTACTTTCATTCCTGTCCAGTTCACATCAGAAAATTCTTCCCAAGTTGAGACCCCGGAGTGCTTACAGACCTCTCCTTTGGCAATGCGCTCTGCTTGGCAAAGCAGATCCCTGCTGTTCGTGCCAAACGAGAGCAGTTCAGAAATGTCAGGAGAGCACATGCAGCTTTCAGATTCAGGTGGGTAAAAAGTCCTGGAAATCCGAAGCTAAGGCTATTGTGCAAATCCTGTGAATTTTTGCCCTTGCGAGTGATCATTACTGATTTCATTGCAGGTCAGGGGAAGGTGCTTTGTTTTTATGGTGGCTTGTTATAAAAGATTTTAAAGTATTTTAAACTTGATTTTTTACTTTTTGAATCACAGTCATCCTGATTCTCATGCTGACAGAGAAATTGGGCCTTGTAGATATAAATGGAACAAAAAATCATTAAATCGGAAAAGCTAAGTTATATGAAGTAGGGAGTATGTTATATTTAGGGGGAGAAGCATAAAAAGTAGGAAGTGGATACAGCTTCCAAAGGCAAGAGAACATGTTTCTGTTCTTTGTCAGCAATCTTGGTGTGTCTCACATTGATATGGAGTCACATCTTTTGGAGGAACAACAATGTAAGCTGCTACTTGGCGTCTTCTCTTTGCTACACTTTGCCAGCCTTGTCTTCTGTGGGAAGATATCAAAGGGTGAGAAAGAAGAAAGAGAAATTTGCAAGAAATCAAAAGTTGATTTCAAAATGGGGGGAAGAGGAACAAAAAGAAGTGGAAATGAAAATGCTTAAAGGGGAAGAGGATGTAAATCAGACCTGCATCTTGGATTCCTTTGAACTTTTATAGCAAGACCTGACTGCGATGCTGTGAGACAGTCCAGTAGTGCAATTGAAACTTTAATTTCATATTCTTCAAGCTAGCTCAGGACCAATACTCTCACTGAAAGAGTCTTGTCTCCTTCTTGTGCCTAGCACTATTATTTTCTTGCTGGGTTAACCTGAACCTGGGTCAGAGAGCTTCAGAAATACTTCTGCCAGCACAAACGGGAGTAGGATGAGGACAGCAGGAACCTGAGACCAAGAACACATTAGGGCAGGGGAGATGTGACTGCTTTTTTGACAGCAGTGCTGACTTAGACCTGCTTAATGTGCAGAGGCCTTAGTACATCAGGTTAACTCCCCCCGACTGGAAGCTGGTCAGTGCAGTTGCCTTTGAAATATGCTTCAGTTGAATGTGTGCTTGAGGGCTGGGCTGAACTGAGACCTTCCTGACTGTTGTGATGAGTGTGGGCTTTTACTGCTGGAAACATAAACATCAGTGTACCAACAGCTTGCATAACACTTCACATTCTTATTTAAAGGGATAAGCACCGAGCCATTGCTTCAGTGTACTGAGAGCCCCACAAAAAAACTTTCCAGACAAGATGCTCAAGAAGAGAACAGCAAAGAACACAAAGGTGAATTACCCACCTGGTTTGACACATTGTTCTTTCCTTGCACTGGGGAGCACTAGTTGAAAATCAGCGTGCTGGGGCACCTCTCCTATTAGAGCATTCTGGAGAGAGCACAGCCCCACACATGAGACTGTGAGGGGGGACACATGGGTTCTGTGTCCCTTGCTACTGTCAACCTGCTGTGTCACCTCTGCTGCCTCAGCTGTATTCTGGGGAAAGGCAGGTGAGAAGGTTGCAGAAACAGCACTTTGTCTGCCATCAGACTGGAGATTTTTGGTGTGTAGCTGGGAAAGGCTGAGGGAAGGATGTAAAGTTTTTGTATTCCTGTTGTTGGACCAGAAAGTCCTTTCAGTATGTTGCAAAGGACTTCAGTAGCTCTGGGTGCATTAATGTGATAAGTGAGGATATATAGCTCCTGGCTACAGCAACAGTGTGTAGTATGAATAAGCCAGTAAAGGCTTTTTGCTCCAGTTGACAGGCCTAACTTGAGCTAAAAGAGCAAGTCTCTATTAGCTGACACTTAGAAAAGAAGATTAATGAAGTGGGAGCCTTCTTCTTGTAGTGAACTTAGCCAGTAAGCTTCAAATGCACTTTTGTGAAATAGAATAGAAAATGCTCGGTTAGAAAGTCTCATGTGTACAAATACCACTTGTTAAACTGTTTAATGAACTGGCTTGCAGGTCACATAATTACAGACATATGAGTAGTTCAGTACTGTCTGGCAAAGTGTCTCCACTGCAATGTTCTGCAGTGAACACATTAACGAAGCATTACAAATCTCTAGAGGCAAGGAGTACAAATCATACCATTTGCCCTGTCCTTATTTCCAGCAACTAGACTTGAGGATCAGGAGCCTCTTTTTGTCATGGGTTGCATCTTTCCACCTACTTAATTCAATTGTATTCTATGAAGTGTTTTCAAAAATCAAAATCTTGCATATGTTGTTGAAAATATAAACATTTCTAATTTATTTTATGATGCTTATTTTTCATTTATTCATTCTATAAAGGCTTTGTTTTCTTTTACGTTTTTCCTGCTGCTTAGATAACAGTCAAATAAAAGAAAGGAGTTTCCCTGAAACTTTTTCTGCTGTCAAAGAAGAACAAAGACAACAAGTAAAGGAGGAAATTCCTCCATCTTCCTTTGGCATAGAGGGGAAGATGAAGACTGGAAACATAGAAGACAGGTAAGAAATGATCTTAATCAGTCAGTCAAGCTAAAAAAACATGTTTTCCTTGATTGTACACATACTGTATGTGTTATATTTGCAACATAAAGGCTCTTTGCTTGAGAGTGGCAGGTATGCATGGGCAGAGGGTCTAGGGACTGGCAGTTGATTTACTTCTATATAATAGGATGCTGGTTCAGCCAATTTAAATCAACTGGTTTTGCAACTATGATCTTCAAAGGATAGAAGTAAGCCAAAAGTAGGAAAGAACAAATAACATCTTTTATTATGCCATCATTTCTTCTGCAGTGGCCATCAGTTTGTGATAGCAGCATCAGTCTGAGTAGCTCATTCATTCTTGTACTTGGTCCGCCTCTTCAGCTGTGCCAAGACCAATTTTTGTGTACCTATATAGTGAACAGGTCAGTAAAGTAATCCTTGTTAAAATTATCTGGGGAGAGGAGAAATGTAGCTTTTAATTTGGATCAGTTCTCTGATCTGGTTCATCACTGCATTGCAAAAGAAGTTGTACCAGCACACTGAGGGGGTGCTCATGGCTAGGCAAGAATGATTAGGTTGGCATTAGTGATGGAAGAAATGCTTGTAGAGTTGTTACCTTTCCTCAGCTGATGCAGATAGAAGCAGCAGGTTTTTGGCACACCAAGCCTTCCATCAAGTATAAAAGAGAAGTGTCAAACTTCTAGGCAAGTACAGACTGAGAGTAATTGTCATGAGTGTGTTTTAGTGTGTTAACCATGTGGGAGTTGGGCAGAGAAGGAATACAGGGGCCTCCAGAGCAGAAGGCTGGGAAGAAGAGGCAGGACCATAAGCACCTCTGGGCAAGTGGGCCTGTCCATATATGTTTTTTTGGATTACCAGTGAGCTTCTGAAGTCTGTCTCCCAGTCACCCCCACTTGCTGAATGTACTCCAGAATGTACTCCAGTTCTTCATGACATTTTCACTATAGGACCAGGCTATAGTTGGTTTGAAGTAAACTTCCCTAAAATACAAGTTGTCTAACGTTGGGTCCTCAGCAACAACACTTTTGCTCTACAAATGTAATCCTATGAGGCCATGCTGTGTGCTAACGGACAGAGCCAGACTGACAAACGAAAAGATTATCCGTGGTACAGTGGTGTTAGGTGGAGGTGGGGTATAGAAAGAACAGTAATGTGCTGTGTAGCCAATGCCTCTATTAAACCCAAGATTTTTAATATTCAGTAGAAATTATTAGTAAGCACCTAAATCAAGGCTCTAAGCACATTTCCAGTGAAATAAGATATGTTTGTGTATGCTGTATTGTGCTTCATTTTCAGTCAGCATTCAATTTGTACCTCCACAACATTTTAGGCCTTATTTTTCTCCTCTATCACTCTTCACCAGCTAACTCAAACCACTCTGTCAGAGAGATAGTGGGTTCTTTGTGACAGTAACCAGCTCTAGTCTGGAGAAAATGCCTTGAAATATTTTTCCTTTTGACAATTTTCTATTTTTAAGGAAAGACTGATACCAGCCAAAAAATGTTACTTGCTAAAAGCATAATTAATGTTTAGTCTAGACAGGATGTTTTAAAGTGAGACTTAGGTGTCACATAATAGTGGACTTTTTACTAACATGCTTCACATTTAAAAAAAAATCAGAGAGAACATTTCAGTTCTAAACTCAACATCAGCTCCATGAGAATGATCAAAAGCAAATTAGTTGTAGAACCTTACAAATAAGTTCATTCCTGTTCCTCACCTAGGCCAATTGCACCAGAAATTGGTATTGGACAGAAGCCTTCTGAAGAATTTGTTGAAGAACAACTTAAAGTAGACAATCATCTCATAGCAAAACAGCAGAAGGAGCAGCAGGTACTGTGCCAGTGGTGCATTCACTTTGTTTTTGACAAGTTCTCATGGACTTGGGTATAGTGTGGGTTCTGTTTTGGCTCATTGTATGGCAGCACATTTTTCTACTGTTCTTTCATGTGACATTGGAAGATTTTTCCCAAAAGTAAGAGAAACCTGTATTACTCAGTCACAGTCATATTCCCCAATGTTTCCCACTGGATTCTTCTCTTTCCACATACTTTCTGGGTCATAGTTTGTGTCCGAGTCTCAACATAAATTAGACCTCAAGGTTGATTCTGTTAGTTTATTTCATAATAAGTAATAAATAATTTCATAATATATTTCAGAACTTGTCTCATCTTCTATCATATAAACACTTAGTACCATCTTAACCATCTGACTCTACTAATGAATTAATAGAGGTATCACATAGCGACTGCTTCTGAAAGTTCTTGTACCTTCCCTGTAGTCTGTAGCATACACTCAGTTATCCATAGCCAGTGTCTTTAAGACTTGTGGTGTCTCAGTGTTTCCAATTATCATAAATATCTTCCTTCTGGAGAATGATTCTTAGACTATGTTTGTCAGGATTTTTGGTGTTTTTTTCAGACGAAGGCAAAAGGAACACCTCGGAAGGCTTTTCTGAAACGAAAAGAAGGTATGGTAAGGCTCAAAAAAAATAACCAGAAGCCTTTAAAAGAAGACAGCAAGCATTCCAGAAAAGCTGGTTTGGACTGCTGGGGTCATTTCTCCCAGCCTGGTCAAGTGGATGCAGGCATACTGCAGCCAGGGGAATGCTCTCAGTTAAGTCTGCAGGTCAGTAGTTCCATGCAGATGGGTACACAGGAAAAAAAAGCAGACTGTGCTTTAGCTGAGTGGGAGATAAAGGCTCAGACTGACTGTGAAGCAAAACTAGTTGAGCAAAGTACAGAAGAAAAAGAAGTGATTGGGAGAGATGAAGACACAAAGGAAAATCCTGTTGACTCAGCAGAGAGAAGGTGGCCTGAAATCCTGCAACCAAGTCCTGAACCAGTAACAGAAATGAACCTACAAGTAGGTGAGGAAAGGGAAACTCATCATATGGATTCTCTACTGCAAGCAGGCAGAACTGATGGAAGATCTGTGGAGGGTACCCTGCAAAAGGACCTAGGTAGGGTGGATCAGCCTCTGAAGGGTCATCTCATAGGGGGAGCAAAAACCCCTTTGGAAGTCCTGCAAAAGCATTCTCCACTTCAGGATTTAGAAACAGATCTCATCAAAGAGGCAGAGTGGAGTGCAGGCCCTGCATTCACACAGGGCCAGAAACGGGTTCAGGTATGCCCACAGGAACTTGTTTCAGGGAGCCAGAGCTCAGAAGGCAAAAGGCAAATCCATACTGGGTTCAAGATGGTCAATGATAAGATAGTAAAAATTACATGTAGCTCACCAGAGGCTGTGGAGAAGGGAATCTCATCCTCAGCCTTGCAGCAGGAGTGGCAAAAGAAGGGGAAAGCTGTGTTGACGTGGCATGTTGCATCTTTGTCCCATGAGTCAAGCAGCTTATCCTCCAACAGTGATGATGACCCCAAATCTCACCATGCTCAGTATCCCTCCCAGCACGGGCCTCAGGGAGTAGATCAAACTGACAGACATTTGGATCTCTCTGACGGTGATTATGCTAGTGATGAGCCCAGTGGAACTGAAAAAATGTCTCTTAAAAAGTACAGCAGATCACCCCCAAGCACACAAGATATTCAAGCGATCTCAAGACAAGGTCTCTCCTGCAGCACAAGCAGCAGCGATTCCAGTACTGGGGTTGTCAGGCTGAAAGGGAGCCAGGCTCACTCTCCTCTTTGGCAGTCCCTATTTCATCTCACAAGATCGAAAAGGAGAGAGCATGAGCCTGAATCAAAGACTGAGAATAGGGCCAGGGATGTTAAAAGCCTAGATCTACCATCCTCAACAGTGGCTGGTGAGATTCCTGCTTTCAAGATTAAAGAAACCCCTGCAGTGGAGGAACCACAGAAAAAACTGTTTACAGGCACATTAGGTAAGAGCTACCCAGGTTTTGATTTACATTTCTTTTCCATAGGGGAAAAAAATTTCTTTTGGATTTATGACTCATTCTGTGTGTGCTCCCTAGGTATATACTCACCACTGTCAGTATTTCTCAGTCTTAAACTGGAAAAAAAAAAAAGAGGAGAGAGATATATCTGCAAGCCCCATGTTATGCTTGGCTCTCCATTGTCACTAGCCACTTTTCCTAAGTCTGTTGCTTGAGGTGCACTTTCAGGTGCAGACTTTTGAACCCATGAGATGGGTGAGAGGTTCAGTGAGTCCCTAGAGTCAGTGCTAGAGTTCCCTGTAGCTTAGGTACGTTCCTCCCACCGACCCCTTGACAGTGAGTTGTTCACATTTTCTATTTACCCTCCTCAGAGATAATGTGACTTTAAAAAAGGTGGGCAAAATAATTTCTCAAATTTGCATGTTTTGTTCCTAAGACACAGAGAGCCTCACATCAGTGGAAAATGATGATTTCCTAAGAGCAGCCTCACTCAGTTTGTCCTGAATGAAGCCCCAGTTCTTTGGTGAACCAATCTTTCTAGCTTTTTAGCCCAGTGATCTTACTTCTGTCAATGAAATGGTGTCCTGCTTAAGCAGGAGTTAGTCCTTTTTATTAAACTGGTTCTTGACTTTTCTTGTCTCTTATTTTCCACTGAAGGACTTCCCCTACATTGACTCCTCATCCCAAAACCATTGGCTGTCTCTTCATGTAGGATCATAAAAATTGGTTGTCCTACCTGCAGTAATCACCAGGGCAGAAATACTAACTTCTGATGGCTCTCAATTGCTCTGTCACAACTTGCTGACCACACTCTACTCCATGTCAGGCTGCTGTTAAAAAAGGGTTCCTGAGACCTCTTTGAAAGTTACATTCAAAATAAGGTTGAAATATCACTTGGCATTCTCATTCCTGAAAAGGAATTTAGCTACTGACACTGATTGGATTGCACTACTAAGAACTATGCTGGGAATGGAATACTTGCATAATTAGACAAAGATATGTTAATTCTGTTTGATAGATTAAGCAACAAAGCTTACTGCACTTATGCAGTCTATGGTTTTAAATATGTAGAGAGGGTTCATAAATATTCACAGAGTTCTGTGTACTAACATAGATGTCTTTATAGAAGAAACCCAGAACGTCCTTACCAGAGGATTAGAGACTGGTGTATATCATGGAGGAAACCCTTCACTGACTAGGGTGAGAGAAGAACAAGAGAAAGCAAAGTATTTTTGCAGGTAAATCTGTATACACCAGAAATTGATTTGCGTGTGCAGTAAGGCCAATATTTCCTTTAGGATCCTTAAAATCAGGCTGCTAAATTCATACTTATTAGCTAGCCTCTTTTCAACTGTGTCTATGTTGTTCCAGAACTGAAACATTTATTTAGCTGTCTATATAAAAAGAAAAGTGCCTAACCGAAGGGGGCCAACCGTGAAAACACTGGTGCAGTTTGGATTTTAAAGCTGAATAATGCCAAGTGCTTTTTATAAGTTGTTGAACATCTTCAGATTACACTGAAATCAGTAAGAACTCAGAATAATTTATTTTATCAGCTCAGGCTCTGATGGAATAAAGGATAAACTTTTCATATCATATTCACATCACGGTAGCCCATATATCCGAAGTTGACAAAAAGTATATAGCATATGTCAACACCAACAGGATTGTTATTTTAGAAATACCTATCTTCAGACTAGACTGAGGATACATTTGGTACCATATAAAAGAAGAATTTGAAAATTCAGGAGAATTGGTTTTGTAATTTGTAATTATTAAATGCTGAAAATTGGTTTAGTTTGGTTTTGTTTTCATCTTCATAGAAGTGACATAATTCCTTACCACAAAATCCCTGCAAGAAATAAGTTTTGAAACTATGGGGTTTGGAATGGAAGTGCCATCACAACTGTAACTAATTACAGGTTATGCAAATTGCCTCTAAGGAAAATTTAGTATGCCTACAATCAAATATATACTTTTTAATGTGATGAAATCTGTTAGAGATTACTAGTACCATCTACTGTAAATACAGGAGAGATTGTTTTCCTTTTTACATTTCAAGCCTAGTTCTTAACTAGTGCATAACAAGCATAATTTATTGTTTTGGATTTTTAATATATAATGAAAACTGAGAAATGTTTTTTCACATCTGCTTGTTCATTCTTTTTGATTTCAAACACCATGGGATTAGTGCCAGAGGATATTTCTGAATTACATGTATTGGTTTCTATCATTTCCTCCTATAGCTGTCTTTTCAGCAAAATACTTTCAATGTCTTAAAAATAAATTATTTCATTAAAGATCTTCTTGCTTGTGATCTTGCAAACATATTGGAAGATGATTGCCAGCTGACTGTGATAGGCGTTCCAGATGTGAAAATTTGTGGGATTTGGCAGTTCATAAAACTACTAATGAAATTAATTGCTGCTTTTACTTGTGTAAATTTTGGCTGTGGAGGAATGTATTGGTGCAGAATTACTGCAGTGCACTCTTTGCCAGCACTGCATTCTCTACCTGCTGACAGTGCTGCATCACAGATGACATGACTTTGATTTTTTTCATAATAGTGCAGGTTTTTAAAAGACCTTTCCGTGGATTTACTCATGTCATTAGCCATAGTAGTCTCTAGCATTTTCACACAGATGTTTATCCAAAAATACCTGCCTAGTCCAATGTGTGCATCTTTTCACTCACCTTTTGTAATTTATGAGCTAAAACTAATTGTGAAAGGCAGCTTCTCCTTGACTGTATTGGCCCTGTGCTGATTTATGCAATCTGAGAATCTGCTTCATATTTTTAAACCAGGAAGCCTACTAGGAACACAAGATGGCAACTACATTGACAGCATTTAACTTATGCTATGTTGACGACTTGTGCTCACTGGAAGCAATGAAAATCCTTTTGAGAGCAGCACAACATGTCTGGACCTGCCCAGTCTATCCATTGTTTTGTTTCCAAGCACTTTGTTTTTAGGCATTTGCAGGCACAAATAATATAGGCAAGGGGGTGAAAACAGTTGGGATGTAGTGTGTTGTGTGTATCTGGTGCCTAAGAGAGCCTGGAGAGTGCTCAAGGCAGCAGCCTGTGGCTCCACCCTTGCAGCACTAAGGTAGTTACTCGGCATCAGTCAGAGGACTCAGTGATAGCCATTTCCTTGTTCCTTCAACAGGGACAACTCGTTTGCCATTTTTAATACCTAATTTCCTTGTAGTATTAAATCTGCACTCTTTCTGGATCAAGAGCAGTAGCCAACAGGTTTGGTTCTTTTCCCATCTGCATTTCACTAAAAGGCTTTTTCTTGGAAAAAGACCTTTGCTTCATGTATGGTTCTGCCTCACAGCTGGCCTGCTGTGATGTGCCTCATGCAGAGGTATGCCTGGGACTCATGCAAGAATCTGAGTTAGCACATAGTGTTGTCGTTTAACCTAGCAGGCAGCTAAACACCACACAGTTGTTCACTCACTCCACCCCCTCCCCAATGGGATGGGGAGAGAATCAGAAAAAAAAAAAAGTAAAATTCATGGGTGTCCTGGTTTCGGCTGGGATATAGTTAATTTTTTTCCTAGTAGCTGGCATAGTGCTGTGTTTTGGATTTAGAGTGAAAATAATGCTGATAACACACTGATGGTTTAGTTGTTGCTAAGTACTGCTTATGCTAGTCAAGGACTTTTCAGCTTCCCATGCTCTGCCAGGTGCACAAGAAACTGGGAGGGGGCACAGCACAAATGTGTTCTAGTATACTGTATTTCAGGGCAACTGGTCTGGATATGGAACAGAGGTAGGCTGGACATAATCACGCAGGGGCTATATTTGCTAATTTAACTGTATTAATGTGAGGAGAATTAATACTTTATTGACTATTGATGAGACTTTTTTTTAGCATGTCTTAATCTTTGAGAACTTTCATATTTTGCTGCTGAAGTGCTAAACTCCATTACTGAGAGGAAAACATGAGGTCCTGGCTGCCTCCTGTAGCTCTTGTTGCTTTCCCAGTAATAGTGATGGCCAGATGGTGGCTGTAGGTCATGAAGTGAGCTGAATCAGGAAGCTAACAAATAATTTAATATCATATTAAAAATGAAATTAGCAGCTGGGTCATAGTCATACAAATATACTCCTTTTGAAGATATGTAAAGATTCATACTCTTCCCCTCTTGCTGAGTTTTAAAGTGCACTTCCAGACCACTCATGCCTTGAGACATTGAGTTCAAAGGAAGAAAATATCTTCTGGGTGCTGAGCTCCCACATTTAACTCTTGGAGTATATTTACCTGTGGAAAGTAAAGTACTTTATCCCCTTTCATTCAGGTCCATGTCTGTTCTCATCTGTAGGAATGACTGGGCTGCTGGGAATACAGCTCAGTCCCCAGCCTCACATGATGAAGTGCTTCACAGCTGCAATGCCAGGGAACAAGCTCTGCCTTCTGCAGGTCTGCCCTAATTTAGCTATCTCTCTGAACACAAAATGTGTTTAAAAGCCTCTAAGTTCATGGTCATTACATTGTCAGGAAATTTCAATGAGAAATGTTGCATCTGCTCAACAGAATAAATTTTGCAGCTGAACGCACACATGAGTGTTCCCAGTGAGGAAGGATCTCAATTTTTGACAAGTGCTGATACCTTGCACCACTACCAGCAGTATCAGCATATATGGGACATGCCCAAGCCCTCCAAAAATCATGCCCAAAGAAGGTGCATCTAAAGACAGTCCTTCATTATAGTCTTTATGCCAGCTTCATACTCTTTGTTTACCTTCTGAACAGAACACGAATGGACCAGCTCAAGACTGTCAGGAGCCAGGAGCCGAGTCACCCTTTGCAATACAACAGAGACCAAATTCACCCATTGCAGAAAGAAAAAATTGCTCATAGCAAGTTCAAAGGAACAGCTAGCATCAATGGAGAAAATGTGAAATCAGAAGAAATACAAGTAAGCTGTCTTCTGTAGAATAAATACACGTTTCTCATCAATTAATATCCTTCCATCTTATGGTAGTACCTGAATCCTTCCATTTGTCACAGATGGCCAATTATTCATGCTACTTCTTGAGGACAGTTGTGTGTACAGTGAAGATTTTTCATGTTAGTAGGACATTGCTTTCGTTTGTGTTTTAAATGTGCATCCCTCTTTATATAAGAAAAAAAATAGGTTGTGCCTTCTGTTTCTTAAGGAAGGTTGGGAGTTTCCCATCTTCCTTGTACTTCCTTGTACTGGTTTTCCTAGATCTGGGCTGGCTCTTGAAAAATTTCCAACTCCTGCCATAGTGGGCTTTACATCCTTTTAATATAAAGACCCATTGTGCCAGTGGCACAGAGTTATTTGCCATCATTCTCTATTCTCACCCCTGAGCTGGGAGTTTGTTGACTTTTTTCTTTAAACTATCCTGACCTTTGGCTGTGAGGTATTTTTTGATGATATCTAGCTGTGTATCTAACAACCTAACCTGCCTAATAACATCCCTGAGTCATTTATTGTGGTTTCTTCTAATCCCTTTAGGGGATTCTATCTGTTTAAATCCTCTATTTCAGCCTCCTTAGTGATAAAGTAATCCCTGAATATCTGTGGTTATTACCCCTATTAAAAATGGCTAGACATGATATGATTAAGTAATTTTCTAGAAGAGTCACTGATAAAGGGAAGAAAAAAATGGTGAGCCATGGGAGACAGTGGTAAAGGAGATGGGGGTAGCTAAAAGCTATATCTTTATAGGTTAAAAGACTAGGCAATGGTAATGCTCAGAATGACTGTAACAATGTCCTGCTTCAAAAGGATGTCTAAACCAAACTGATACAGCAAACTGACAATTTCAATGTTTTTCTTGACCAGAAAAGTTTCAGAACAAGTGACACTGGCAAGATAGTACTCTGTTCAAGGTTTCTATACTTTCTTTGTTTTTCATTTGTACGTTTTTTAAATACATGTTTTTGTACCATACACATAGTGAATGTTTTCTCTACTCATGTTCCATATTTCTCTGGAGGTAACATTTACAATGGGAAATAATTTACTGTTTCAGTGAGGTTATTTTAGTATTTTGAATAAAAATATTTTAAATATCCCCTCTGCATAATATTTTGAAAGATATGCTTTATTTCCACCTGGGATTTAAAAAAAAAAATGTTAGAATTTCTGCCAGGGAATAATTGTGTTTCCTGACTAGGTCTAGCCCTAGAGTTGAAGTTTGATAAAATTGGTTTGATTTTTTATTCCCACCTGATAACATAATGAGTGCAGGTTCAAAAACTTAGTTTTCCACAAAACAATTACAAAACACTTCCTGAGACACTTATCTGTGTGATTCCCAAGTTCAGAAGTCTGCTTTTTCTTGAAAATGGCCAGTGGATGTGCCAAATTCTGACCAGGCAGCTCACAGCAAAGAAAGGATGGTGATGAGGACACAAATGGGCAGATACACAAATGAAGGCAAAGTAGGAAAGGGTTGCACATGACAATTGGTTGACTACAGAGCAAACTGCACATTTCTAGCTTAACTCCACCAACATTGCATTTGCAGTATCCAGCATGAGTGCTTTGAAGGAGGAGGATTCAGTGTTGGCATCAGCACGGGTGAGGGAAGAAGAAGGGAGTAGGGAAAAATAATGGAGATGCATGTATATGGAAAAGTCCTCTCCCAAATGCACCAAATTTCACTACTTTTATTTTCCTGAACTCCGTTGAAAATTATGTCTTTGCGATCCCCTGCTGTTTGTAAGGACCTTATTACTAATCATGTGCCCTTGTCGCTACGTGAAGATCTGACATTTTTGCCATTAAAATATACCTTGTATCCTTGCCTTTTTTTGAAAACATCCACATTTAATGGTGTTTGTTTGCATGATTAGTTTGCATTTCCTGATTTTCCTTCACACAGCAAGGACTTCTATCTGCTCGCTTTGTAACAACTTATAGAATCATAGAATCATTTAGGTTGGAAAAGACCTTGTTTGTTTAAATATAGGTGTTTGCAGGGTAGCGGGTTTTTCATTTCTTTGGGTCTTTTTTTTTAAGAAATCATTTCAAATGTGTTCTTTTTATATTGCAGACCTTTATATTGAAGACCTTTATACTGTAGACTTTTAAGCAGAACAAAAGACTCCATGCTTCCTTCTGGGTATATAAGGTGGACATGCCTAGTCCAGAGCAGACAATGACATGACACACTTTTTTTCTACTGGTAGATATTAAAACAGCAGATTGTGGGACTGCAGGAGGAGTTCAAGAGAAATGAGTCCTGCTGGCATGCTGCCTACGGCAAGCTGAGAGACCAGGTTGAGATCCTGACCAGGCAGAACATGGAGCTTCGAGATGAACTCAGAGTTTCAGAACATCAGAGATGGAAAGCAGAAAAAAACCCAGAAGCTGTGAATTTCATGGACAGAAAATCCAAGACCCCGGTACTGAAAGATATTATCTGTTTAATAGTGTCTGAAAAATTCAGGCGTAGTTTTCCTTTGGAGTTGGCATATGTGAATACTGTTCCTCCATTCCTGTCATACATAGCCTGAAGGGGGGATAAGCCATAGTAAAATATACTCTTTGTGTGGTCCTCTTCCACTTAGCCTTAGTTATCCATGAGGTAGGTACCTCTACAAGGTGATTCAGCCAAACTATCTTAGACACTTGTATCAGGGCAGATGTCTCCCTCCACTAACTAGGGACGGAGTCTAGATAACTAATTTACATTCAGTGCCTAAATTAGACAACTAAAGTCTCCTGAATTAAGTCTAGTATTTATGTATATAACACCATTTACCTTTTTAATAAAACAGCTCTTCAGCCAGATGCAGGCTGGTTTCTGGCAATAGGTATAGTGGCACCTTTTATTAAATCTCATTTCAGTTCTTATTTTGTGCTGTAAAATTTCTGGGAAGAAAACACTGTCAGTGGCCTGCCTTACAAAGGCACAAATTGGGCTCCTGAATGGGAGTTACACTGGGGTGGAGCAGGAAAGACAATCAGGGTAGAAAATATAGCTGGCTAGTGTAAATGTCTCTGGTGATCTCCTGAAATCAAAGAGGTTTAATCATAGGTTAACAGATTCTATTGCCCTTTCTCATTCAGTATCCTGTGTGTTTAAAATACTTGTAGGGTTACTTTCTACCTTACTATATAACTGAGTAACTTCATTTAAGGGAGTTAAATGAAGGAGAAGAATGCTGTTACCCACTTCTTACACAGGAGACAGCAAGTCTTGGTGAAATGAAATGGTTCAGACTAGAATTCAAAAGACAGAAATCTGGTTTGAGCAGGTCATTTCATCTCCCTGTGTATTCAAGGGAGAAAAATATGTGCCTTTAAAGAAGGATCAATTTCATCCTATATGCATCAAGGCAACTAGAACAGATAATTATCTTCTAGATGATGCAGTCTGGTGAGATGAATCCTACTCTTCCACAGTGTGGCTGAACCTAGGAGAAAATAAAATTGAGCCATTTACTCCTAAGTATTTCCCTAATTTGCAAATCTAATTTCTAGTAATGCATCTTTAAAAGATGTTAGGACCACCAATTAACCTGTCCTTTGCTTTATGGAGTGAAAAAGTTTTGGTCTCTCTTTTTATTTGATTTTAATGTACTTGTTAATGAGATTTTCCACTTAACACTATTAAGTTCCATTGAAAATGTAATTTTAAGTTACATTTAACTTTTTTTAATTTTCCCAAACCTACCTGTTCATATGACTCATACTTTATAGATTGTGAAGGTCAGGAAAAAAGATTATAGAGTCACATGTACAGAATGAAAAAATATAAAAATACCAAAGGATAAGAAAAAGCTAATTGACTTCTGTTGTAGGCCAGATTTTGGTATTATTTCTACTGTTTTGGGACATTCGGTGATGTAGAACTGCTGCTTAAGCCACTGAAGATTTTTGTTGTGTGAGAGTAATATTAGGATGCTGTATATAAAGATGCTAGGATGCCATGTACAAAGATTGTTGTGTCTGATACTGGGGAGCTTTGGTCCATAGCAGAACAAGATGTGGAATTTCATTCATTGTGTTTAAATATCATAATTTTTATTACAACAGAAAACCAGATGGCTTTGAGGGTTGTTTGATTCTACTAGCTGTGACTTGAACTTAAATTATGTATTTATAACAAATTCTCCATTAGGTTGCAGAAGCTATTCTTCAGGAGACAGCATCTTCATCCAAACAAGAAGAAAGATCACGGAGAGATAATCACAAGAGCCACAGCATCTCTCATGTGAGGCCAAAGACATCTTTGCAGAAACACTTCTTTAGAGATATGAATAGCAAAGTATGCATTCCTATTGCCAGTAGTCACTTTTCTACAGTTTCAAATATTTATTTAAGAGAATGTTCTTTGGAATCAAAATTTGTGCAAATGAAAGTCTCTGTATAAGCATGGTCACGTTTTCTTGCAGTGGGCTTGTGCTGTGATTCAGCATAACTTTCCTTGTAGTTTTTCTTCTGGTTTTGCAGTAGCAGGAGACAAAACTTTTTTTTTTTTTTCCTTTTCCAGACCTAACTGAATTGCCTGTTGTTTGCAGATATGCTCTGAATTCATTGTACCTGCTACTTCACAGATTGGTTTTACAAGGAACCTCCATACCTTGCTTCAGCAAACTATAAATCCAGTATTTTGAGGCCTTACTTGCCAATAAGCACTAGTGGCCTTCTGACTGATAAAGTCAGAGGGAAAATCACTTAGTTTTTTACAAGCTGTGACAAGTGAACTCCGTATGTCAAGTGAGATGCTTTTTTCTAACTGGTATCTCTACGACTGCTCCTCCACAGCCAGCTTACCACATTTCTTACACATCTCACTGTTTTGAATATATAGATATTTAAATATCTCGTCGTGCTTGTCTTTCTCTTGGCTTTGTATTTCTTGCTTCTTATTATGAGCATCTTGATTATTACAAGTCCTCTTTCTTCCTTTTGCTCAGATTTAGCTGAAATCTGTGTTGTTCAAGTGAACAGTCTCTCTGAAATTCCTCCTACCTACTGGAAACTAATCTCCCGACTCCATTGGCTAAAGCAAAACTTAGCTGAGATTAGCCAACACACTGCTCTCTCTGCCTGTTTAGGGGCTGAAATCAAATGTAAAACATGTTAGATGAGAAAGGAGGCAACTATTCCACTCTAGTGATCATGACAGTGTGTGGCTTGAAAGTCACTAGACAGTGGCTTTAGTGAATCCTGCATGGTGCCAGATATGAAAAGAGATAATCATAAGAATGACTCTAAACTGAATATAATTAAAAGAGCAGAATCACTCATGTGTGAAATAGTAGCTTCAAAGAAGATGCAGATATTATATGCCTGCCTTCAAGAACGGCTATATTTCTAAGCAATATATGTTGTTTATAAGTCAGAAGGTGGAGGGTTTAGTTGCTGGAAATTGTTTTATTTGTTCTGTACTGATGCTGGATCTCCCCAGTCCCTTCTACAGCTGGGATCTCTCCATTCTTCTGTGCTCTGGTGGCCAGAATTACAAGCCAGACAAGTAATATGGGATATACTATCCGCAGTTAAAGTGGCCAGTAAAGTCAAAAAGCTATTTTTGGTAGCTTACCCTGGAAATTTTCAAGGTATGAAAGAGTTTGTTTCATCTGAACATCTCAAGCACTCTTGCAAAATGAGGACAAAACAGAAACATTTATTCCACATAGAGACTCCTTAACACTCCTTGAGTTCATTTTCCTCCTGTGGCACACAGCCGTGTGCAAAAAAAAAAAAAAAAAAAAGTGGCTTCAGCAACAGTTCTGAGAAAGGGGAAGTTGAGGATGGCAGACTTTTGGTCTCACCATTATCTGAGCTTTGACCATTCAGCCAGCAGTGGATACAATCCAACTGGAATCCAGTACAAGCATGAGCTAGACTGGTGGGCATAGTGCCCAGACATCCTGAGTGAACTCTGAAAAGTTTGACAGAGACACATGTTCTTTATCTGATCTGATGGCAGAAGAAGGCCTTGCAGTGAATAGAGTGGCTGCCAATTATTTGAATCTAAAATTGAAGGCTCAGGTAAATGGAACATTAAACAGAAGCCCCAAATCTGTGTTGTATCAATAGAGCTGAACGTGGTGACTCACTTGTATTTCCTTTGTATTTGAGGTCTCTTGCTAGCATGCGGATGCTTTCCCTCAAAGATTCTGTGTATCTGGACAATTGTAAATTTTGCATATATAAAAAACAAACTCTCATGTTGTTTCTGTCCAGAATTGAGGAACTGTGCATGGGAACACATCAAAGTGAATGGGATAACCTTGAGTAACAGAAGCAGACATGCATGCCACGGGGACATGTGTATACCTGTATAAAATATTTAAGTTAAAGCTAGTTAGGACTGGTGAGTTTCATCAGCTGTAATGAAGAAGGCAAAACAACATTTAACATCTGACAAAGCTAATAGAAGTTGAGGATATGTACAAAACCAATTGTGGAGCAAGTCTGAATAATGATCAGTACAGGTTAAAGACACAGAGTTTTGGAAGACATGATTTTATACACCCCCCCCCCATATTCAAGAGATGTTCTACATCGCTGAAAAAGACGTATTCTGGTTGCCTATAATACTGTTATTAATGATGATTTCTGTTTGTACTGTAGAATGACCTAGTTGGTGAGGAAGTGGCCACTTCAAGCTGTGCTTTAGTGAGACAAGATAAATGTCCATTTTAACTACATATCATTAGTGATTCTTTGAGAATATGGCTTGAAAGATGTACTGGTTGGCCAAAATGGTTAATATTTATTAATTATGAATATTTATTAATGTGAATTCTCCCCAAACCAGCTGATTTCTGAATGCATCACATTATACATTTGGCAGGAACAAGTTGCCAGTTTCCTGCCAGACATGCTACTGTGGATAGATGTTAGTGATTTCTATGAGAAAAGATACATTCATTTGCACGGGGTGGGGAGCGAAGTTCTACTAAAAGATATACTGATAACATTTCTTAATGTTTTTGCTGGAAAAGTTTCAACCAAGGCCAAATGTGCTTACTTCCAATCTTATTAGATGGATCTTGCTGTCTAATCTTGCAAGGGATTTTGATGACCTTTGAGCATGTTATTTCCTTGTCTATGAATGTTCTTCTTGACCATTTACTAACTGAAGCAGGGAAGTATGAATTCTGGGAATATGTAGACAGGCTTTTGTAGCATTTGAATTTTCACTGTTTTATCCATGAGTATTTGTTGTTTTTTCTCAGCTTTTTGATCTGTAAGTGGGAATGCAAATTCTGCATGACACAAACTGTGAAATCTGAAGGTTATAAGAGATACTTATTTATGGGAATTGACAAATGAGAGATTTTCAGAACAATTTGATTTGTATCAGAAAGTTGAAAAACTGTAGATATTAACATCTGGGAGGAAAAAGCTCATTAGAAAATTGAAAGGATTATTGTTGAGCATG